ATTCAGTGGGTCCTGGTAAATCATCCAGTTCTTTCAAAGGAGTGAAGGTTTCCCATGCTAGCTATTCTTACTGCTTCCAATTTGGGCTCCATGTCACCATGTGGGTTCGCGGCTAGATAGAGGGAGAAGGAGAACCTTATGTTCAGTGAGAAGCTTCAAGAGAAGTGAAAAAATGAAAGGTAGAATGTCTGTTTGTTAAGTTTTGGAAGAGAAAGACCACCTGAGGTGTAATTAAATTGCCCTGGGGCTTCTTTGGGCTATTGGTCTGGCAGGGCTGGCCAAGGGCATGATCATGACTGCCATCTTGACTTTTTTGACTCCCCTTTACAACCCTCGGGACCTGCCTGGGATCTTTTCCAGTTCTGATCCCTCTCAGAATAAAAATACATTTACACTTCTTTTGGGGGAAAAAAATAGTTTATTTACCTTGTGGTGAACGGCCAGCTGTAGTTTTTGGAAACCATGTTAATAAAATGGGGGACAGATTTTCTGGCAGAATAGACAGCCTTTGCCTTCTCGTTAATCTTCCTTGATTTTTTCCAGTCATAACATTCCTCAAGAAACATTTATTTTATGACTGATAAAAATGCTGTGGCTTTGGGGAAAACAAATCTCCTATTGTGACTAGGGGAAGGAGGACGAAAAATAGGCCAACCCAGAAAAATTAAGTGCTGTCATTCATTCTCAGTTGGGTTGAAGAGGAGAGTTGTAAGCTGGCTTCAATACCTTCCACCCAATTTCATGTAGATTCTGTTTCTTGTACCCGCTAAATTCCACTGTTCTGCTAAAGCAGGGAAGGTCTTTAATTTATCTGCAGCATCCCAATTAGTACTTTGGTTACTCGTTTTTCTAAAGCAACTCCAACTTCCAAAGTTCTCTGTGGAGCTTAGACGTAGCGTAGTCCACGCACATCTTTAATAGATGTGATGTGCCTGGAGTGGAAGAGAAAAACAAGCCGACAACCTCAGACACCCATTCTTATGGTTTCGCAACTGCCTTTATTTCCGTCATCTGGAATGTAAACAGGCCCTGGAGAAGTCAGGGGAGGGGTGGCCTGCAGTCCAGATGATGAAGGGAGCTGTTTTTGCCCAGGACAAACGAAGGCTGGATAGAGGTAGATGTTAAGGAGTGGTGGATTTAACCCAGGATGGTCTGAAGCAGCTCCATCTGCCTTGTTGCAAACTCCCTGCCACAAGGAAGAACCAGGAACATGGATCAGCCTGTCGGTCTCAAGACAGGCAGCACCTGAAACCATCAGGGCTGGAGTTCAAGTTGGTTGTTCCTTAGCTTCTGTGGAAACGTTGGGAGCCTGACTTTGTGAGAAGTATCTCAGGCCTGCCCAGGGCCGGATAAAAAAGTCAAGATGGCTCAAGGTTCCCATCGTGCGGTTGCAATCTCCACCTTGACTTTTGTGTCTACGCCTTCCAAACCAGTTTTGGTAGTGACCTCTTGCTACCCCTCTCCGGTCAAAAGAAAGATGGCAGATTTCAGAGAAATGCTGGAGCAAGGCAACTGGTGGGGTATAAAAATCCAGAGCCCATGAGAAGCTCTTTGCGCCAGCAGCCACTGTAGAAGTCTGTGTTTCCCTCAACTGATTGTTTTAGGGGAACTCGGCACAGAAAATTAACCTGTGAGCCATTTGGGGACTAGTGCAGTCAAGATTAGAAGATCTCTAAACCCTTAGATGTAGATCAGTCCCGGGACAGCTTCCCTACAGGGTTGGCTTCCTGGTGAGAAGACGTGATCTGTAGACTCAATCCAGAGATGCCCCTCAGCACCAGAGCATGACGGGAGCCTTATCAAAAGACACAAGGCTGTTGCTTCTGAAGATGCGTTGGTTGCTCCAGTTAGACCACTTTTATGTTAAATGTCGCCCCTCTTCTAATGTTCCCTCAACGTAGTATGTGAATGTAGGGTGTGAAGAGCAGCTGGGGCCACGTTGCATGGCCTCCCTGTGTTCAGCAGAAACAGAGAATTTTTCTGCCCGGAGAATGGATGTGCGCTGGAAATGTACATAGCATGATGCTTCCTCCCCTTTATGCCTTTGTAGAGATCATTCTCAGATCTGTGACAGTGGAGAACAGGGGTGGCCAACTGGGGGTCAAAAAAGTCAAGCAGGGGGCCACAACTGCAGTCAAAACACGTGTAACACATGAAAGAAAAGGGAAAGGTCTTTGCTTGTGTGGGCATGGCTGCTATCTTGGCTTCCCCAACAGGCACCCCTGGAAATGTGGCCACAATCTTTTCTTCCCCAATTAATTTTTTTTATGACTAATCTTGTTCCAGTGTCTGCAAAACACCGACATGGTAAGAACCCTCTGAATGAGGCCAGTTCAGAAAACAGCAAGGAAAGATGGAAGCCCTGCATCTAAATGAATGCGAGGGTTTCTTTATTTGAATTATTGAAACAGGCAGGACATATTTTTCAGTTTAAAGAACAAAACTTGCTACTCCTTGCAAGAAGGAGAGAACCCAATTTAATTTAATTTGTTAGACAACCTCCCAGTTGTCTAACAAAGGAATTCAATTAGCCTTAAAAATAAACAAACAAGTCAACCCTTAACTGTCATCACCTGTGATTAAAATTAGACCTTGCTATTAAGAACTTCCTTCAACATTAATCAAAAGGCTCTTACCTGTTCCATGAACCTGGTAGGCGGGAATGTCCCTGTATATATCGGATGGCCTTCCTGGTAACTTTATCTCTGGATCCAGGATAGGCAAGTTTAGAAATTGGTTTGATTGCCACACCCACACTGGGAATTGCACATCCTCATCAGGCATTGCCCCTTCATCCTGACACATGATCCAGAAGGCACCGTTGAAGATCGGAAGACCCAGATCTGATGCAGATGGGCTACAGAGTAGGGGGAGAGGCAACTGGGGAAATCTGAGAGCAACTCGGTGTGGGGAACTGCCTTCCATTCATGCATATTGTCTTTGGATTCAGCCCCAGTCCTCAAGAAAGTTTCAGACATGTTCACTATGGCTGGTAGTAGCCTGTGAGCACCCTGGAAATCTTGACAACTGTGGAAGGGTTTCAAAGATTTCAGTCGCACAATGAGCCAGGTGAGCAAAATAGAGGGACCCATAGAAACAGCTGTTGTAGTTTGCATGGTAGCGATGTCTATTGATCCGTTGGGGCTGTCATTTAGGGCTTCTGTACCCAGGCTGCAAAACAATAAGCAACCACTAGGTGGAGGTAGAGAAATCTCCTACTCTTTGCCGCCATCTTGTGGTCTCCCAAGGCTTTGCAGCCCAGATATGGCAACCCTAGTTTCATAGCAGTCCAGGAGCCTGTGGAAGGCAGCCAGCAACCAGGGCAAACGGTTGGGAAGAGTGACTTGAATCCTGAAATCTGGGTTTTCCTCACCTGGTTCTTCTCTGGTCTATTGGACCTCAAATTCAGTTGGGCACCATCAGCTTGGTGTGCCCTTCCATCGAAGCAGAAAGGCCCAGGTCAAAAGGCTGCATTTGAACAGATTTTGATTTTTCCAAATTAAAATGTTAACTGTTGTTTCCAGGGTTTAGCCAAAATGATTTGGGCATTGTTGAGCCTGTAGCATTTGTTGTGTGCACGGTGAAACAGTCATGCAATCACAAACCCTGGTCACTGGGGAACTTGTATTATTCTGAGTGACCTTTGCATTCAGAATGACAAATTGTCTCTTTTATTTGCAGCTGATAAGTGCAAAAGCAGGTGGTAGAATTAGCTGTTGGCAAAGTTCTCTGATATCCAGAATAGCTCTTCTCCTTTTCCTGCTAATAAAGCAGTGTCTTTTTTGTGTTCATTCAGAATTTGAAATCAGGAAGCAAATTAGTTCCTATGAGAGATGCAGGCGGACATTCAGGAATTCAGTGGTAGAATAGTGACCCCAAACTGCATTAAATTTCCTAAAGTCTAAGGTCCTCAGCCGGAGCAGAGGTATGCTGCCCATTTGTTAACAAGGGGCTCTCCAGTTGCAGAGAGGGGGTGGGAGAAGGTGAGAAAAGTCTTTACTTGGTGCTGCAGAAAAAGAAAGTCATCCGGTTTCTTTAGCTTTCTCTCGCCAGCTGTTGTTCTGGAACCAAGTTAGTTATAAGAGAGGAGTGACAAATGCAGCTAAGTAGCAATGTGCGAGCTCGCCCTCCCTCTCTTGAGCCTTCTCAAGGACACTCCTTGGTGGAACTTAGTAGTTTCAGGAGCACCAGTGGCTCCCAGGGAAGGGCCCACATGATAAAAAAATGAGCAGACTTCCAACAACCAGGATCTGGACCAGGACTGTTCAGCTCGAGGGTTCAGGACGTGCGAGGCTTTGTAGAAGCTTGGGGGCAGTTCCCAGGGTATCTTCCAAGGTGGCCCCGTTTAATGCATCAGAAGGGAGAAATTGTGGAGAATATTTATTAACTGCCTTAAATTTTAATTTTACTTTTAGTCCTCACCCACCCAATCGTTTTTACTGATCCAGATTTACTTACTATCAACTTGGTTGAACGGAGCCCTCCCATGGGTGTCAATTTCAGGTGTATGCCCTCAGCCCCGAAAGAATACAGGCCCTTTCATAGACAAAGCGAGAGCCTGAGTGGTATGATGGCAAAGGCGATGGGCCACGATGGGTGACTTCCCATCAGTCACTGTCTCTCAGCCTAGCCTATCTCACAAGGTGATTGTTATGGGAAAAAATTGGAGGAGGAAGCACTCTGTAGCCCAATTTGATCTCCTGAATGGAAGGTGGAAGATAAATCTAGTACACAAATATGAAGTCGGGGAGGGAGAAAAATAAAAGTAATCTCCATGGAGGAACCATCCTCTGATTTTCTGCTTATTGGTTTTCTTGGGCTTGTTCAACGTCTGACCAAAAAGACACAGTTCTCTGATGGACACCTCTTACTCCTTTTTCAGTTTAAAAGCGTCCCCTGGGATTTCAGTGTTTCCTGCAGACTGGGGCGATTTCTTTGACCAGCTAAGGAGGAAGCTAGAAGATAGCTTGAGCTCCTACCACAGGAGAAGGCGATTGTTTGCCCTGATAGGACAACAGGACACCGAGCTAAAATTATTTTTCTTCATTTATTCACTTTATAATACCCTTCAGTATACGAAACCTCTTTGTAAAACCCCATGAGAGGTTCGTGATGAGATGTTCTGTTTTCCATTGATCCTATCTGCAAGTGGGGAAAGGCGGAATTGGACCGGAGTTGGCAGCAGGAAAAGGAAAGGAAATACAATTCTTGCCTCTCCGTCTGCTTTTTGTTTTTTTAACATATAACCACACATGGAAACTGCCCTTTTTTTTTTTTAAACAGGGAAGGAAACATATAAAAATAGCTTGGGAAAGTAGATTTAGGAAAAGAGCAGGGGAGAAAAAGAAGCTATTTTTCCAGAGTTCTGCTTTTTTACAGTGAAACGCGGTTGTTTTAGGACAGGGTTTTTCAACCTTGGCAACTTGAAGATGTGTGGACTTCAACTCCCAGAATTCCCCAGCCAGCATGCTAATTTTCCAGAGTTCTGCTTTTTTACAGTGAAACGCGGTTGTTTTAGGACAGGGTTTTTCAACCTTGGCAACTTGAAGATGTGTGGACTTCAACTCCCAGAATTCCCCAGCCAGCATGCTAATCTGATCTATTTCTTTGGCCTTTGATTGGAGAACTGAAATATGTATTAGGAGAAAGATTCAATCTGATTATCGAAAGAGAGAGGGAGGGAGATGTAACTGCATAATACCTCCAGAATAATTGCTGCGCTTTTAATGTTTTTATGGAAATGGTGAACTGCAAGGGTTAGAGACGGGCAAGGGGAAAATTGCTAAATTCATATCAGGTTTATTGTGCATGTTTCTGCTCATATCCTTCCATTCTGATGCCACATCTTAGACAGAAGAGCTCACTGAATCCTGGAATATTGTGGTAGTAGCCAAAGGATCACTGTGTCATCGTTACCTAGAACGTCAACCACAAAGTTGAGGTTCAAAAATGATATACATGAATATGTACATAGGTAGACTCTGGGAAGTTCTGCCTGAGGTTATGGCTAGATATAAAAGTAGGGGTTACAGCATATCCCGGGGTGGGCCCCATTCCAGATGGTCGTCTTGGTTCACATCCACCCACAAAATCACCCAGATGAGAACTGTGCATGCTGGCTGCTAGTGAGAATGGAAGTGTTGAAGACCATCCAAACTGGGGATGATGGGTGTTCAAGTCCAATACAGGTGGAGGAAGGCTACCCTGGATGGACTTTAGCCTGAAAACCTGAAGGGGTTGAACATTTCAATTACTTGTGCCTCCAACATGTTGTCGATCTTCATGAAAGGTCTTCCTGTCGTTGCCAGACCTTGCAGGTTGCCACACCTCCTGGCACCTGTCTTTTTAATGGATTGATTTCATTCTAAAATACTGCTTTTACAATTATTGTCAGTTGGTTTGGGATTCTTTGCAAGGAGAAACCGTATCTCAATACTTTAAACAAAGAAATAATAATGTATGATAATTGCTGGCATCTTTCCTGGAGGTGAGTCCATTGTGGCCAGTTAACTAATTCATTTCAAGCAGGAACCTTCTGAAGACGTTTCTGTTGTTCTCTTCCCAGACTGCAGACTCCTTTGGGATTATGTCTATCAGTTGCTCTCTGACAGCCGGTACGAAAATTTCATCCGATGGGAGGACAGAGAATCCAAAATATTTCGGATAGTGGACCCCAATGGGCTGGCCCGGCTATGGGGAAACCATAAGGTATGGAGGACCCACGAAGGGTTGTTATCTTGCAGAGATTGATTATTAAATGATTGGGGAAGAGTGGAGAAAGAACAAAAATGATTCTGCTGAAAGAAAAGAGTAGTTAGACATAGACTACGAGAGAAATTCTGTAGTCTTCTTTCCACATGTTCTTAATCTATAATTCATTATGATAAAAATATTACTTTGTCAGGGCCTTAGGGAAGGAGAGGCTTGTAAATCTCTCCCATATTTCATTTGTTCTGAGTTACTGAGTGTGTGGGAATTCCCTCCACTTAGACAAGAGAAATTATTCAGGGTGGCTCTCTGGTGCCGTGCAAACCCCACTGGTCCAGGATTCCCCATGAATCATGTTCACACCAGGAACTCCGGGAGCCATTTTTCATTCCGGAAGATTTGCTTCCAGAAAACTCCTCAACCCCTTTTGGCATGGTTTTCCCATCCCTAGTGCATTCTGGGAATCTTGCAGGAGGGGATAATCTCACTTGTCCTTATTTTGGGCTTCCCCATTGCAAGTATCCTAGAAGGGGGACGTCGGTAGGGTTCATCACCACTTTGGACCATTGGTAGGCTCAGGACTTCCCTTCTCAAAGTCCCAGCAGAAAAGTCCTGACATCAGCTGTGGTCCACCAAAGTAGTGCAGGGAACAAAGTTCAAGGCTCTCATTAGTAGAAGGTTAAGAAGTCCAGCACGTGCCTCCTTTCCTGTCAGGTGATGGTCGCTTATGTAGTCTCTTCCAGCAGCAAAGTCCTTGTTCTGGTCCACAGTCCTCCGTTGAGGGAAAGGGCTAAAATGAAACGGGCAAACTGCATCCGCTCCTAATTTTGATAGCGGCCAGCTGGCTTCATAGAGCAATTCCTCCATCATGGTGTCCATTCTCAGGAAAAACTTCCCAGGCTGCCCCCTCGATCACAGTGGTCCGGAAGTTGGTGGAAACCAAACTCTTCCAGAGGGCCCTCAAGGAAGGATCGTTTGTGATCAGAACCGGTTCCATTTTTTACTGTGTGTTGTCCTTGCCACGTATTGATTTTTAAATTTTTTTTCCTATGAACTTGATGTTGTTTGCGGGTGAGAACTGGGTCGCTTTATTATGTTGCTTTTTTCCTGGAAGCATTTGGCAGCTTATAAATTAGTGGTGGTAGCCGTAGTAGTAGTAGTAGTAGTAGTAGTAGTAGTAGTAGTAGTAGTACTAATGGTGCCTGGAAGTCAGGCAATTTTGGAGAGCGATTTTGCCCTACCAAGAGAAATAGCCTCAATCACATGTGCAAGGCGTGTTAAGAAGGGTGGGGTTTCCATCATGCAGGCAGAGCCTCCATCTTGACTTGTTTTAGCCTTCCCGCTCCCCCCCAGGGATGCCCATACTTAGAGAAGCCTCCAGCCCTACCCAGCTGAACCCTTTTAACTTCTGCCCCACAGCAACTTGCTGGCTGGCTGGCTTGTTTGTGAGATTTAGAGGCTGCCTGACTCCAGAGCGACTCTGGGCAGCTTACACTAAAAATAGGAAACAATTAAAAAAAAAAACAGTGCTAGAAAGGAAGTTCCGTATATCTGGACAAACACACTCCCTCGGATAGAAAACACAACCCACAGAGCTCAACACCCTACCCCAAGGCCTGGTTGAACAGCCAAGTCTTTAAAGACTTGTCAGGATGGGAGCTACATGGATCTCTGGGGAATGCTGTTCCAGAGGGCAGGCCCTGTGGCAGAGAAGGCGTGCTTCTGGGGCCCCAACTGATGTCTTGTTGGACTGAAGGGTCTCGAAGCACACCAGCCCTGCCTGAACTTACTGGTTCTAAGCCCTGAAGAGCTTTATAGGTGATAACCAGCACCCTGAATTCCACCCGGAAGCCGCCTGGCATCTGGGAGTGCGTAGAGCAATGGTTTTCCATGGGCATACCAAGGCCTGCCCAGTATTGCCCGCGTCGCCACATTCTGGACCAGCTGTAGCTTCCAAGTGGTCTTCAAGGATAGCTCCACATAGAGTGCATTACAGTAGTCCAACTGCTTATGTATTTAGGATGCACCTAAGAGGTGGGAGTTCTTGAGAACCAAGCCTACACAATCTCATATGTTGATTTATTATACACCATCTAAGCTATAGAATGTGCAATTTCTGAACCCAATATTATCTAGCATAACGTAAGAGAGGACAACTAAGACAAGGGGCATGAAATGTGAACAGGGGTGGGTCCAACCCTTCTCTCTCTATCTTTTCGGTGTCTTGTTTTAATTCTTGCTCTCTCTGTCTTGAACGGAACAGAACAGAACAAATATGACCTATGAGAAAATGTCTCGTGCCCTGCGCCACTACTACAAACTAAACATTATCAGAAAGGAGCCAGGACAAAGACTTTTGTTCAGGTAATCGTGGCTGTTCTGCTTGGGGAAATGTCTCTTTCCAAACTTTGTGGAAGCGGCTGGGTTCTGTTGACTGCAGAATTTTGTTTTTTGCTCTGATTTCATTAACTGTGTTATTCAGGACAGTCCATTTGCAAACAAATATACATAAAATGAAAATGAGCAAGTCTCCACCCAAAGAAAAAAGGAAACAGCAACCAATAAATGCAAACCTAGAAAAAGACAAGGTTCACTTGATTGTACAATCTTCAGAAAAGGAAACGAAGCTTTCAATATTCACCAGGCCTGTCTAAGAATTTTTCCCAGAAGGAAAGATAACATAACTTTTTCTGATTGACAGAATAAATACTTTTCTCAAAAATTGCTAGATATCTCATCTCTAATATTCAATCCTTTATATCTGGAGTTAAAAGTACTTTCCCATCTCCTAAAGATGATGCTTTTTGCTATTCCAGGAGCACAAAAAACCCCATCTTTGTTCAGAATAGGAATTCCAAATCGTAGGTATATAATTTAATACAATAGGCATGTCCTTAAAAACCAAAGTTTTCCCAATAATTCTAACAACGTATTGCGTAACATTACTCCGAAAGGACTTGACCATAGCATATGGATTAAAGTGCTCTCAAACTACTTGCAACACCAACACGAACAATAATTAGTTCATCCCTTACAAAACTTTCCAGATGGTTTCCAATAAATACTCACTGAATGTTGTTACTGCTGTGAAAAAGAAAACAGAAGCACTTCCATGAATGACCAACATTCACAATATTGAGTTAGTCATTCGTATATCACCATTCTGTACTATGCATTTATGTCAGCTGGCATAATTTTAAAAGAAGAAGAGAGCAGTGGAAGATTAAACCTGGAAAGTAGCAGAAGTGGAATTATACAACCTCTGACATAAAAAGGGCGCTTTTCTAGCTTGGCTGGCTGGGGAATTCTGGGAGTTGAAGTCCATGCGTCTTAAAGCGGCCAAAATGGAAAAATACTGGTCCAGACTATAAAACGCAAGCATGTCAGAGGAACCAAGGTTCTATTTTGAGCAACGCATTGCCAACTATGAACAATTCTTCCGTTTCTTCCTGGAAAGGCGCTTGTGTAAGGGTGTGATATGGTGTGCTGTTGTTGAAGAAATCATTTTAAATCTGTAGAAAGATGACCTAGGGAGGCCAAAATAGTTTTCCATTGGTGTGGATTTTTTGGACAGTTCAGTTTTGTATTCCACTCCTCCTTTTCTCTTTCACAGGGCTGTGTAAAACCTACAGATGACTCTTTCTAAGGCAGTTGGGTGTGAACAAAGACACAAACATGAAGGCCTTCACCATAGTCCTGCCAAGGCTCCATGCTAAGCCATCTTCTCCAGATGCTTTGCATTGCTTTGTTATTTAATACAGAACTTAATTACAGATTACAAATTAATCAACCTGCAACTCTTATTCATAGATAGCCAAATAAATCTATTAAGGGTTTAATATATTTAAATTGAAGTGAATCATCTATTTTGATGAGCAACTAGTTATGTGTAATTTGTATACATACGTTTAATTCAGAGAGAACATTAGTTCTGGAAATGCAGAAATGCAGAAAACATTAGTTCTGGAAATGGTTATTTAGACCACTGATTTCTCAGCTGTGTATAGGCAGGAGAACTTCTGAGAACTTTTAGAGGTCCCTCAAAAAGATTAGTCATGGCTAGCATTAAACCTTTTATGTGTATTCTAATGTCTTTGTCATTAGCAATGCCATCCCAAAATTCTTCCCACCATTAGAGGTCTGGTAGCTACTGTTTGTATGAAGAATCTGAGTTCCCCATTTTGGTTAGTAAAATAATTAACAATTTACAACATAATGGACATTGTAGGAGGAGAGCCAAGTTAATCTGCAGTAGCCAGAAATCAGCTGCAGGTGAAAAAGGCTTGTGCCTTTGAATAAAATTTGTTAATCAGAACAGGTGACACCACCT